TGCTGAACCACGATCCTGCAGCACGACCAACAGCTGTGGAGCTGTTGAAAAGTGAACATCTTCCACCACCACAAATGGAAGAGTCTGAGCTGCATGAAGTGCTCCACCACACCCTGGCCAACGTGGATGGCAAGGCCTACCGGACCATGATGACCCAGATATTCTCACAGCGTGTATCTCCAGCTATAGACTACACCTATGACAGTGACATACTGAAGGTTTGTAGGTCTTTAGGGCGTGGTGGGTGGATTTTTTTTTTCTTGTGTTGGATTTTTTAAAAACATGTATGCAGGTTAACTGCTAACATATTTGAGAGAATTACATTGCCTCTGAAGATTAACCTTCACGTTAGTTCCCATTTAAAGCTACAACCTGTACTGTGTGGGCTTGAATAGCCACCTCCCGTTTGAACCTTATGTTTGTTCTTCAGTGGAGAAATGAGCAGCTAGAGCTTTAAGGTTACATCCAGATGATTACTTTCCTTACTCTAAATTTTACTTTGAAACTAATGGTACTTGCATCTGACTGCTAACAGAATGCATTGCCTCTCTTTTCTTCCCTTTCTATTCATGGCAATCAAAGTAATCCTTCTCAATTTCTCAACTCTTAAATCCTTCTAAATCTAAAGAAATACAAGGTAATGGTACAATACTGCTTTGTATAGCTCTAGTTATTTTTTTTTTTTATTATGTAAGCATCACAATTTATTATAATGAGATAATAAGCATTCTACTGTCTATACTACATGCAGCAATTGTCTTTGTTACGTGGAGTGTTCCTGGCCTGTGAATTATATGTGTACTTTTTATTTGTGGTGGTTTCAGGGTAGTTTTTCTATTTGGTCAGCCAAGATCCAGCAGCATGTGTGTGAGACTGTCAGCCGGATATTTAAAAGACACGGTGGGTGTTTACAAAAGTTGTTCGTTTCCTGGTTTGTGATTGAATGGATTTAAAAGAATGGAGTGGTTTTACTGCTGTCACATGAGTTGGAAAGTATGTTCAGTAGTTGCACATCATTTGAAGTTTAAAATTTTTTGCTGTTACTTCAACATCCCAGTAATAGCCGTTAACTAGAAATCTGAATGGTTGAAACTTTATACAGAAAGAACAGTGAAAATCTTAATTATATCTTGGAATGCATTTGGTTGCTCTGATAATGCTCTATGAGCTTTCAGAGGTGGGGGGTGATACACATGAAATCTAGATCTGAATATAAGGATAGTTCTATAGTGAAAGACCAAGCATCAGTGTAACATGGTAATCTCACTCAGAACACAGCCAGAATGGGAATGGCCTAAGAGAGTATGGAAACGGAGCAAGTGTGTAGTGGTGCTGCCAGAGGTAATAAGGTAGTAAGAGGTAGTAAGGCTTCAGTGAAGATTGGATTCATACAGCCAGATGGCTGCAAAATACAGACAGAAAAAAGGTATTGAATAAGTTTTAAAGTGAACCATAAACATTTCCAGTATGGTTTTGAGATATAGGATGCAACATATCTGAACAATATTTGTTCTAGATGGAAGTACCTCTACACTAAAACAGTACTGCTGGTATCTGTAGAGTTTCTCTTTCGTTTGCATTCTGTTGTGAAAAGTGATGTTTAAAGAGGGAGGGCATATTGAGGATTCTGCTGGGGCTGTGGAATGGGCAGTTCTCTGTTTCTCTGTAGGCTGCCTGCTGAGCCCAAGAGGCATGCAAGGTAGAACGTCAAGGTTGATTTATCATAGAATGTCTGGGCTGGAAGGGACCTCCAAAGGTCATCTAGTCCAACCCCCCCCACCATAATCAGCTAAATCTCCAACTAGATCAAGCTACTCAGAGCTTCATCTAGCCTGATCTTGAATATCTCCAGGGGTGGGGCCTCCATTTATGGCTTTCTTTAAACAGTGGAACAGGGAAGCCTATTGAGGGCACTTAAAATAATGTGTTTTTTAGAAGGTATTGGTTGAGGTTCTCCTGCTCTGCAAGGTTGTTCATGAGCCTGTGAAAAGCAGATGTTACTTGTCAAAAGGGAGCTGATTGTGTTATAGTGGTTTTGTGCAGGAGCCATCAAGCTGCATACTCCACTGCTAATGCCCAGAAATAAGAAACTATATGAACATAATGAAGCTTCATATTTCATGGATCACAGTGGGATGCTGGTGATGCTTCCTTACGACCTCCGAGTAAGTAGCGTCACCCCTGCAGGCAAAGCTGGGTTTAAAGAGTGCTGCAGTGTTTGTAGATAACTTTGATTCACTAGTCAAAATACTGTTTAAGTTTATATTTCTGATTATTGCTGCTGTACTCCTTGTCCTGACCACATAGACTTTTCTGTTTTCTTCTTTATTTTTTAAACGTAGTTTAAAATCATGCTGTCTTATGAATGTGACAGGTGTCACAGCTGGTGTTTTCTTCCTTTTTTCCTTTTTTTTTTTTTTTCTTGTATATATAAGAGACAAGACTTTTCCAATGATTAGTGGAAATTCTAATATTCCCATCCCTTTTTTATTTATATGTTTTTATAGAGAACGTGAGTAACGGTCTGTCCAATTTTATGTTCCTCAGACAGATGTTGTCAGGGATCTTTCTACTCTTGAGAGGAATTGCTGTTTATGCAGTTCAAATTTAACTGCCTGGAATACCTCCATCAGTAATATGCAATGTTGTCCAACTTAATTACTTTGCATTTAATTTAACACCTAAATGCTTTAAGTTGCTTTCTTTATTATTATTGACCATGAAAGAACCAGACTTTTCATATTTCATTTCACTAATTTAAGGTCCGTTTGACCCACTATTCCTTTGTGTTTATAACATCAAACTATACAGTATGGTTAACAAGTAAAGATTTGTGCAGGACCTACAAAATTATCTTTCTGTTGGAATTACTGGTTTTGGAAAATTTAACGAAAGGTCTATTAAGAAATAGTCCTTTATGTGAAAAGCATATTTCCTGCTTGTCGTCCATTTATGATACATTTTGCATGCATTAGAGTAATGAAGAAATGACCTTGTGTCCCTCTCCAACCTCTTCTAGGAACATGTTGGGGGAGGTGATGGTTTTATCTATAACCTGCAGCATGGGTGATCAGATTAATATTACTTGTCTGTGGCAGATATTTGAGGCAGTATTACCCCTGTGAGAGTAAATGTTACCGCACAGTAGTGATTCATCTCCCGTTTCAGAGCCTCATCAGACTGTTTTGTTTCAACAACTTTCATGCCTTCTGTTTTTCAGATTCCTTTTGCAAGATTTGTGGCTAGAAATAACATATCCAACTTGAAAAGGTAAGAGACATTGCAGTGATGTTGCACAGATGCCATGCTTTATGACAGTGACCACTGAAGATGCTGATCAGTTCAATGTTTCCTTTAGATACTGTATAGAGCGAGTTTTCAGACCTCGGAAGTTAGACCGCTGTCATCCCAAAGAACTCCTAGAATGTGCATTTGACATCATTACATCTACTGGAAATAGCTTTTTGCCTATAGCAGAAACAATTTATGCCATTTCAGAAATCATCCAAGAATTTTCAGTGCTACAGGTAGATTCTCTAATCATCCTTTGCTCTCTTTTCCATCCTAAAATTTTAATCTAAGTAAATATTTAGTCTAATGTGTTTAAAAAGGATAGTTCCTTTTAATGAGTACTGTACTGACAGTCGGTTACAGAACACTGTCATTTAAATAATATAATGTTTTGTATGCAAACTTAAACATATGCTCATTTTACGTGCAAAGGGAAGTATTAGTTATTTCAGCAGCACTATAAAGATTCATCTTTCTTCTGTCAGGCAAGTAACTACTGTAAAATGGAACAAGCCTGGACATTGTTTAGTCACAGACGGAGGTGGTGGAAGGAGAGGTCTGAAGTTAGTTTTGAACTATCACAGAATTACAGAATGTCAGGGG